GAAGGAAGGAAGGAAGGAAGGAAGGAAGGAAGGAAGGAAGGAAGGAAGGAAAGAAAGAAAGAAAGAAGGAAGAAGACAGGCTAAAAGAAGCATTTAGTTAAAGGGTTGGGAAGAAAACTTGATCAGCGAAGTGTTGACCTGTAAGAAAGAGTTCCAGTCCCTAATGTCAGCACTGGAGAGGTGGGTCCCTGGGGCTCGCTGGTCAACCAGTCTAACCTGACCAGCAAACTCCAAGTCAATAAAGAAAGAGATCTTATCTCAAAAAACCCAACGTGGATGTCACCTGAGGAGAGACCAGGTTGACCTCTGGCCTCCACATGTTCATGCAAGCACATGCATACAGGAAATGAACAAACTGCATTTTTGCCTCTGCAATGAGAAGCAAAGCCGTGAACAGGACCGGCTGATGCTGCGGAGTGGCTGACCTGCAGATTTGAATATGACAGCAATATCCGTGGGCCCAGTCTTCACAACTGGAATGACATGGAAAAAAAAGGATCTCCAAGCACGCCACTGGCGCCACACCTCCACACCTCTCACTGATCGCGGACCCACCAACACCTAGCTCTCCCCTTCCCCACACCACCCTATACCCGCAGGAAGTAGCCAGACTTGAGTCAACACCCCTTTTTCTTAGAGAACCCAAATTGTTGGTCACAGTTATCACTTCAGTTTCCTATCAACCCTATATCCAAAGAGTCTGGAATGTTAAATTGGGAGCATAGCCCCAGGCCTGAGAGTTGTATTGGTCTGGACTCCAAATCCCAGCATGCCAGGTCCTGGGTCCTGACCCCTCCCTGGAGTGGTTCCCCCCCCCCCCCCCGCCACCCATGGTCGGGGCATTTGGGGCCTCCCCCCGGTTCCCCACTGGGACCACCTGAGAGCACAGGAATCCCATTAAACCTGGATATTTCTGAATTTGTGGCTTGTTGTGATTTGGCTTGATTGAGATTTTTGCATTGGCAGAGAGCTTACATTAGCTAACACCAGTGGGTGGGCACACCTGTAACCCCAGCACTCAAGACACAGAGACAGGAGGATTACTCTTAAGTCCCAGGTCAGCCAAACCTTGTCTCAAGCAAACAAAAGCAGGGCACTGCATTCCTTACTGTCAACTCTTGGTGGGGTTACCTCCAATGCACTCAACTGAATGAACAAAACAGCTGCCAAATGCGCCTGGGGTTAGACTTCCCTGAGAAGCCTGGTGAGGAAGAGGGCAAAGCGTCCTTCCCAGGACCCAAACCAAGCCAGTCACAGTGTGCTCCCATTGTCTCAATCGTTAATCATCGGAAGGCCTGTGCCTGGGTCTGCAGTTCCAAGAAACTTCAAAACCTCTAGACAGGTAAAGTTAAACATACAGGAAAAGAAAGGAAAAAAGTCTACAATTCTTCCACTCCAAATGAGCCCATAGGGAGTTAGCTCAGCAGTTAGCAGCACTGGTTGCCCTTGCTGTGGACTCAAGTTCAGTTCCCAGCACCCGCACGGTAGCTTAAAACCACCGGCGTGAGGCCCCAGTTCTAGGGAGCTGACAGCCTCTTCTGACCTCTGTGCGCACCAGGCATGCGTGTGGTGCACACCCGTACAGCCAGGCAAAACAATGATACGCACAAAATAAATAAGTCTAAAAGGTAATAGATAAATGAGCCTACAAATTTAGTCCTATAAAACACATGAAGAATCCTCCTACTGTGTTAACAGCCAAGTGCATAAGCAGTTAGAACAGGAGCCAACCCAGAGGAAACAGATTCTAGAAAGCAGCCTGCAGACATACCCAAGCGTGCTGAGGATGTTTGAGTCATGAATGAAGACTCAACTCTGTCACGCAAGCGTAGCTGCACACATAGCTGACTGCTGGAGCAGCAACCATTGACTGAGCCCGCCCACTCAGAGGACCAGGAACAATTGTGCCTGGTCCCCATGGCCCATTTCTACTGGGAGCACTGGAGGTGGAGCATGGCCCTAACTCACAGATTGCAGGTCTTTGAAGCTGTTGACTGGGCAAACATCAGCCTCTTCCCGGAATAGTTGGGGGTAGGGTGTAACATCTGCAGGAGGTGGTAGAACTGGGCCCAGAGTTCTCAGTGTGGGGCGGGGGTGTTGGACGGCAAACTTTTCCTCCAATGAGCAGACACTGAAGAACCAACCTTGAGGTTGCAGCTTGACGGACAATGGGGGAGGAGGGGCAGGTCAGAATACAGTCCTTATTGTCAACCAGGATTGTCTGCCACAGCACAGTACCAGTCCCTATGGCCTCCTGCCTGAAGCGAACTCCTTTTCTGTGAGGTCCGTCTTTAAAGGATCATAAAGGATCAGCCTTAAAGTTTTCCCTGCTGGCTTAGTAGCCATCAATAAAACAGGAAGATTTTTTTAAATTTGATTTTGGAAAAAAAAATGATTAAGTTAGAAGGCTCTGAGCCAAGGAATGGTTTAATCCACTGATAAATTTAAACTGTGAATGGATTAAGAGCCAGTGAAACTGGAAGGTGGGGCTTGGTTGTTAGAAGTCAGGCACCAAGGACGCGTCTTTGGGGGCTTTGTCTCACCTTGGCCCCTTCCTCGGGCCACTCTGCTCTAAACCCTGTCTGCTGTGATGTGAGCTACTCTACCCTGTCCTCCTGCCATGGCAGACTGAAACCGTGTGTTATAAATAAATGGCTCCTGCTTTACATGGTTTTGCTGAGGTCTTTGGTCACAGCTAGGCAAAAGTAACTAATACACTAAGCCCTCCAATTCCCTCATGATCTGGTTTAGGGTGAGCACTCCCACACCTCACTAGCCCATTGGGCCTCAGCTCCATCTCAGGGTATTTGCCGCTGGTCTTCCCAGGCCCAGAGGAAATAGCCTCCAAAGCTGCGTGAACTCCCTCACCTCATCAAGGGCTCTACTCTCTCCTCCCTTCACCAGAGAAGGCCTCCTGTCCTATGCAAACAGCCCTCTCCAGGCCCTGTCTCTGTCGTTAGGAATCACAAAGGACAAAATGACCTCTTAAGTAAATGTCATTGATCTAATTGGTGACCCAGAGAAGACAGTATTAGAGCCTTTTCTCCCACAAGTACCAATTCCCGAAATTAATCTCTTAGTAAGTGCAAGACCTAACTGGAATGGGAAATTTCTCAAGTTTTAAAAGGAAATGAGAGAGGAGGCTTGGGTATAGCTCAGGTATAAAGGGCTGGACCAATGCGCAAGCTCTGGATTCCACTCCCGGCACCACATAAACCAGGTTCCACAGCGTGCTCCTATAAACCCAGTGGTGGGTAGGGAAGCATCACAGTCATCCCGGGCTATACAGACCCTATGTACATAAAAATGTAAAGAAGGAAAAAATGCCTTTTAAAATCACAATGAAGGGGGAAAAATATAAAATTCAATACTGACCATAAGACTAAAGGTTAGAAATGGGGTGATGCGGGAATTAAGATGATTATTCAAAACTATATGCCGCAAAGTAAAAATAAGCCACATAAATTAAGTATTTTTACAATTTCATACATGAATACTGTTTTACATCATTTTCCTTCTGTTCTTCTCCATTCCTGACTTTTTCTTTTAGTGTTGTTATTCACACGCTTGTGTGTGTGTGTGTGTGTGTGTGTGTGTGTGTGTGTGTGTGTAAAACCCACTGAGTGCATTTTCCGTTGCTTAGATGTACACATGTTTAAGGCTGACCCCTTGGAACCGGATAACCTATCAGGGGGCTCATCTCCCTCCCTATGTAGCCATTTACTGCCCACAGCTCTTCTTCTAAGGGTTGGGCCCAGTGAAATGTCTCCCATCCGTATCTGCATGCTGGCTGGTAGCAGGTTTCCTGGTCCTCTGGCTCGTATGAATTAGTCACATTTTAAAGACAGAGATAACTCACAGAAGTCCAGTGTTTAGTATCCGAGTGGAAAAATAGACAAAGGTCTGTGTCTCATACAACAGGAAGCCAAACTACAACATCGTACAGCAGAGAACATCCAAAGCTTTTATTCACTAGTGTGAAGGACATTAGCTTTAAACAATGCACAGGGTTTCCAAAAATCGAACTCTTTGTTAGTTCCAAGAATTAAGAAAGCTTTGGAGTGACTACAGTCGCTCCTGGGAGGAAGTGACATTGAACCAGAGACCTGAAAACTGAGAAGCCTTCAACTTGAGACGCCGAGGGAAGAACTTCTAAGAAATCCGTGTGAGGAGGCCTTGAGCTTAGGAGGAACCTAGAGAAGGGCCGTGTGGCTAACCAACCGCAAGAAACACAGTGTCTCATACTGCCAGAACGAGGTGGGGAGACAAAGAGAAAGAGTTTGTGTTGATGGGAGTGCTGGTGGCATGCCTGTCTTAGCCTATCCCTTCTTACTTCCTATTCTTCATCTCACAGAGCAAGTAGCACCTAGGGGACGTGAGACCTGAAGCTTATCCAAACATTCAACTGTAAAGAATAGAATCCTGGTTTTGTTTGGGGTTTTTTTTTTTGTTTTGTTTCCGTTTGTTTGTTTGTTTTAGCAAAATGAATAGAACTGAAAGACATTGTGCTAAGCACATAAGATGAATACCACATGATCTCTCTCATACACGGAAGTTACAAATCCCGCTAGGTGCCAGGTGCACACCTGTAAACCTAGCACTCAGCATGCTGAGGCAGGTAGGTGAAGATTTTGAGGACACCCTAGGCTACAAACACTCACTAAAAAGGAAAATATCAAGTAGTCACATGATGTGGAATCATGATTTCAAGAGTTTGGGAACGGGGGTCCTACAAGACAAAGGGAAACTGGATTTGTGTATGAGTTGGACGATCACACTGAACCTCATTAATATGTACAATTAACACATGTGAGTCACAGTGAAATGTCTTTAAATTCCAAAATCACAAATTCAAAACAGTTAAGCCTGATACAAGTGAAGGACCCTGCCACAGGACCAAGCCAGACTTAGGTGGCAATGGGGAGAGCGGCAGCAAAGGACCATGGTATGACTGGTCCTGTAATATAACTTCACAGAGAGTGTATCTCCCATGATGATGATTAGGAAGTTCTGGTTGGAAACCTTGAATCTCTACAGTGTCCTGTGCTCTCACAACCCCCTGGAGACACCATGTCCCTCCTGGCTTTCTCTATCATATCTAGTGAGTTTGGTGGGTTTTGTTGTTTGTTTGGTGGCTGTTGATGTTTTGGGTGTTGTTTTCCTCTCCTGGCCTTGTGTCCAAAGCAGGAAACAAGAAACTCAAGCCCTGTCCCCTTCCAAATGTGACAACGAAGTGGGATGCTAGGTATTTATTGTGCGTCTATGTTCATGCTATTCTATTGTGTGTCTATGTTCATGCTATTCTGAAATTAAGGTATACAAAATAAGGAGATGAACACATACAGAGATATAGTCATCACTTCCCACTTGGCTAAAACCAAGTGCTGAGATACGGCTCTATATATACAAGGACAAGCTCCTTGAGAAAGGCACTGATGCTTCCTTTTTCTCCATCTTAGCCTTATGGAAAGTCCTGTGCTCCTTAACACTGGAAAGGACTGAATGAAAGAATGGTGAATAAATGGCTGTTGCTCCACCCAAGGTCCTGGTCATTTATTTGTTTCTCAATGTCTATTGAGGACCTACTATACTTAAAGTTGAGCGCCAGAAAATAGTAAAAAGCAAGGCATGCTTGTCCAGGAAACTGGGGGGGAAGGGAGCTTTGGTATAGACCCAGGTCCTGGGGGAAGGGGGCTTTGGTATAGACCCAGGTCCTGGGGAAAGCTTCAGGAACACTAGAGCTGAGCTGGTGGGTCAAAGGGAAGCTGGGAATATCTCAGGTAGAACCTGAGGTCCTTGCACCACTGTCTTTTGGAACGTGAAACCAGACTGGAGAATTATGAAAACACGAATACTTCCTCTCTGTTCCCTGGCCCTTCACCTCTTGTGTAACACACCCTATGACTACCCCTGTAGTCTCTAACCAACATGGAACCAGGAACCCAGAGTCTCTGGGCAAACTGTTGAGTTCCGAGGCTGGCACCCCTTCCAATCAATCAGAATCTCCAACAGTGAACACCAATCCAGCCTACAGTGTGCTGAGGCCTTCCCAGCTCTAGGCCCCGTCTGCAACTTCTTTTGCAGCAGCCTGACACACGAGGGGCCGAGAAGTCAAGCCCTAGGAGTTCTGTTGGTTTGACCATGGGAATGAAGGGGTCAGTCATTGCATCTACACCTTCAAGAACCACGACATTCTTCTGTTGTTTTTTTGGTAAGTTATTTGGCTGCCACTTTCTGTTAGTGCAAAGGCAGAAGTTAGCGTCTAAGCTCATGCCTCTGGAGGAAGCAGGGCAGAGTTCAACCTGTCTCAGATTTGATAACATCAGCAGAGTTCCTCTTTACCCACTATCCTACACCAGGAAACGACCATGCACAGCCTCCACGTAGAACACCCGTGATGGCTTGCCTTAAGACAAACATCAGCTAAGGCGTACACATGAGGATGACATCATACTTGGAGCCGCTCACTAATACAAGCAAACTCTGACTCTCACAACGAGAGTGAGAAAGCCAATCTTTCCTCACGATGACTCAGTGATTACATCAAAATATAGTTCCCATACCTTACTTTCTGCCATAAAACATGACTCTGCTTTCTCGTTCTTAGAGAGACCGAGATGCTTGCGGGTAAGAAACTGAGGGAGCCGACCTGAAGACGAGATCACAGTTTATGTCACAAGCAGACACCCTGCTCTCTAATGCTTGGCGAAACACACTGTGAATTACCATTCAGAGGCCCTATTTCTAAAGAGCTCCAGGGAGATGTCTGAACCGAGAGCTGAAGGGTAGGCATGAGGGAAAGATGGCTGGCAGATGGGAAATGCTAGCAAGTACTAGCTGATGGAGGGATACGTTGACTCTATCCAATATTCGGATTGTTCTGTAGACCATGTGGGGCTGCA